AGCTGCCATGATGAGAAACAGCATGTGAAGATGCCGGTAAGCTACGAGCCATGTGGCAAGGTATAGATTAATAGAAATGGATTAATTTAAGCTATAAGAACAGTTAGCAAGAAGCCTGCCACGGCCATACAGTTTGCAACCAATATAAGTCTCTGTGTTTACTTGGTTGGGTCTGATGGCTGTGGGACTGGCAGGTGATAGAGATTTGTCCTGACTGTGGGCCAGGCAGGAAATCTCAAGCTACAGTGAGCCATTTTTATCTTATGTGTATAAATGCTTTGCCTGCATGTATATCTATGCATCATGTGTGCAGTGCCCAACAGGGCCAGAGAGGGCATCGTATCCCCTGGAATTGGAGTGGTTGTGAGCTACCACTGGGTGCTGGGAATTAACCCGGGTCCTCTGCAAGAGCAGCAAGTGTTCTTAACTGCTGAACCATCTCTCCAATCTCAAGACTCAAGATTCTTAAGGTGTTAATTCCTCCGATTTACTGTATGAACTCATGCGATACTGACGAAATCCCAGCAGGTTAGTCTGTGGTATTAACAAAAGAATTCTGGTTTATGTAGAAAAGCAAAGGGCCCAGAAGAGCCATCACAACACACCAGACAAGACAGTTTGAAGAGAGTGTGGTGTCTGCAAAATGACAGAAGCATGGTCAAATAATGGGGTAGAGAGCCCAGAAAGGACTAACCAGATGCTACCAACTGATGGTGCACGAAGGAGCAAGGACGGTTTTCCTCAACAAACTGGTTAGAAGAGCTGAAGGGGTCATGGGTACACAACACTGTTGACCTGGCTAGAACAGCTGAAGGGGTCATGGGTACACAACACTGTTGACCTGGTTAGAACAGCTGAAGGGGTCATGGGTACACAACACTGTTGACCTGGCTAGAACAGCTGAAGGGGTCATGGGTACACAACACTGTTGACCTGGTTAGAACAGCTGAAGGAGTCATGGGTACACAACACTGTTGACCTGGCTAGAACAGCTGAAGGAGTCATAGGTACACAACACTGTTGACCTGGCTAGAACAGCTGAAGGAGTCATGGGTACACAACACTGTTGACCTGGTTAGAACAGCTGAAGGAGTCATGGGTACACAACACTGTTGACCTGGCTAGAACAGCTGAAGGAGTCATGGGTACACAACACTGTTGACCTGGTTAGAACAGCTGAAGGAGTCATGGGTACACAACACTGTTGACCTGGCTACAACAGCTGAAGGAGTCATGGGTACACAACACTGTTGACCTGGTTAGAACAGCTGAAGGGGTCATGGATACACAACACTGTTGACCTGGCTACAACAGCTGAAGGAGTCATGGGTACACAACACTGTTGACCTGGTTAGAACAGCTGAAGGGGTCATGGATACACAACACTGTTGACCTGGCTACAACAGCTGAAGGAGTCATGGGTACACAACACTGTTGGCCTTCCAAAAGAAAGGACAGGGGAGGGGGAACTCAAGATCCACAAATGATAAGCTGGACTTCATTAAAACTAGATTTTCGAGTCGGGCGGTGGTGGCGCACGCCTTTAATCCCAGCACTTGGGAGGCAGAGGCAGGCGGATCTCTGCGAGTTCGAGGCCAGCCTGGGCTACAGAGTGAGTTCCAGGAAAGGCGCAAAACTACACAGAGAAACCCTGTCTCGAAAAACCTAAAAAAAAAAACAAAAAAAACTAGATTTTCTTTTCTCTTTGAAATACATTCTTTAAGAAAATGATGAGAAAAGCCACAGACCAGAGAAAATATTTCCGCAATACAAATCTGATAAAGGACCAGTAGCTGATACACACCAACAACGTGAAAACTGAACAGCAAGCAGACAGCCTGCAGGACAGGACTGACCAAGGTGTCCTTCTCTCTCAGGCTCCTTCAGCTTCACGGGGGAGGGAGGCTCCCCACATACACAGCAAATCCCCTCTCCTGCAGACACCACCTCCATATCCTTTAACTCAACTCCGACATTTTCCAGCTAGAGCTAGTAAGCACCAGACCCCACACATCTAGGGCTCAGTCCCTCATGGCTGCCCCTACTTCAGATACAAACAAAAGCTACGTGTGTTTGTCTTGCGTTTCTAACTGATTGGCCGTAAGTCAGGGGTTCATAAGGTTCCGCTCTTTAGATTTGATTCATTTCTACAATAGCTCACAGAACTCTTGGAAACTGGTTACTATAAGAGACGTTCTAAAGGATACAGATGAACAGCCAGATGGAAGGATGCACAGGGCAGGGTGTGGGGGAGGGGCAGGGGCGGCTATGCCCTCTCTAAGCACACCTCCCTCCAGAAAGCTGCATGTGTTCAGCAACCTGGATGTTTTCCAAACCCTGGCCTTTGGATTTTGATGGAAGCATCCTTGCACAGACATGATTGATTACCTCACTGGTTACTTAGAATCAACTCAATCTTCACCCCCATCTCCTCTCCCCAGAGGTTGGGGTGATACATTTCCCATGAGCTTTATTTAGGTTTTATACTGCAGTGATAAAATACCATAACCAAAAGCAGCTTGAGGAGGAAAGGGTTTATTTCCACTTACAACTCTCATGTCACACTGCATCACTGAAGGAACTCAAGGCAGGAACTGGGGCAGAGGCCATGGAGGAAAGGCGCCAAGTTCACTGGCTTGCTCCACCTGGATTGTTCAGACAGCTTTCTTATACAACTCAGGACTACCTGCCCAGGGTGGCGCCACCTAGCCCACATCAATTGTTAGTTAAGAAAATGCCCACAGGCTTGCCTACAGGCCGATCTTGTGGAGATAATTGTGGTTCTCTCTTCTCAGAAAACTCAAGCTGTGTGAAGCTGATGAAACACACTCACCAGCACAGGCTTGCTTTAAAGTTCAAGGCCTCCAATCATGCTGTGGGTTTCTGAGAAGGTCCACACCCTGAAGCCAGGTAGGGCCCCCAGACACTCAAAGTCTAGTGGCTTAGGGCTCTGTTCCTGGAAACAGGGACAGAAACCAAATACACATTTCTTATTATGTCACAGAATCACAACAACCAGGCTCAGAACTCGGCAAAGCAGTTGAAAAAATCTACGGAGAATCTACAGAGATGGCAAATCAGCACTTGGAAGGGGGCACACAAGTGTGACCCGTGACACACCTCCTCCACAGGCCACACCTCCTGATCGTCCCCAACTGTTGCACCAGCTGGGGACCAAGCGTTAAAATACATGAGCCCATGGGGACGATTCTCACTCGAACTACCACAGCATCATCTGAGGGGATTTCAAGTTCAAACAAACTGCAAACAAGATACTGCCACTGCACGCCCATTAGAGCAGCTGCATGCTCTTCAGCCAACAAGGACAATGGTGACTGCGAAGCTGCAGGACTCTCCTGCACTGTGCGGCGACTATGGGTTTTCTTATATAGCTAACCACAATCTTCTCAAACAATTTAACAGTCACAGTCCTCGGTAATTATGTCTATACAAACCTGTACATGAATATATAGTGAAGGCTTATGCATAATCAACAAAAACTAGAAGCAACCAAAATGTCCTTCCACAGCAGAATGTATAAATCACTTGTGGTATAGCTATACAATGGAATATTACTTGGCAGTAAAAAGAAATGAGTTATTAAGTCACGAGAGACATGAAGGAATGTTACATGCACATTATTAAGTAAAAAAATCCAATCTAAAAACACTGTACACCACATGGTTCCAATTCTATGACATTCCAAATGAGATGGATCAGCAGGAAAAGTTATATGTTACATGGGCTTGACAACCTGACTTTTAACCTTGGAGCCTATGGTGGAAGTGAATCAACTCCTGAAAGTTGTCCTCTGACCTCCACCCACAAACACACACACACACACACACAATAAATAAAGTAAACATAAAAACTAAATCATCTGTATAGAGGGTACCTGAAAAAGCACCCAACCATACACAAATGCACAAAAGAGAGCTGCTGAAGAAAAAGGTGCTGGCCTAAGTAACTAGAGGTGAGTGGAGAAGAGAGGAGCGCCGTGGGGCCCTTCCCAGTGGGCGTGGCCACAATTCTGATAGTGAATGCATGGTGGACAGCGGGAGTGGTGATTTAAAACAAGCCTGGGGAAGTGGCTAGACTGGTCCCTGTAGGGATGCATGAGAGCTAGAGATATCATAAGAACACATGTGTAGCTTGATAAATGGTTACAGATGGTTCTACATACCTTTTTTTTGTTTTTTTGTTTTTGTTTTTCAAGACATGGTTTCTCTGAGTAATTCTGGCTGTTCTGGATCTCACTCTGTAGACCAGGCTGGCCTTGAACTCATAGAGAGCCACTTCTGCCTCCCAAATGCTGGGATTAAAGACATGTGCCACCACTGCCCAGCTTTTATATAGCAATTTTTACAGATTGTGTGTGTGGTGTGTGATGTGTGCGTGTGCTTGTATGTGTGTATGTGTGCTTCTATGTGTGATGTGTGAGTGTCTGTGTGTGCTTGCATGTGTGTGTGGTGTGTGTGGTGTATGTATGATGTGTGTGTATGTGTGTGGCATATGTGTGATGTGTGTGTATGTGAGGTATGTGTGTGGTATGATGTGTGTGTGGTGTGTGTGATGTATGTGTGGTATGATGTGTGTTGTGTGTGTGATGTATGTGTGGTATGATGTGTGTGTGTGATGTATGTGTGGTATGTGTGATTTTGTGTGTGTGTGTGTGTGTATTCACATTCCCATCTACAGGTCTTGGCTCTGTCAAGTGAGTTAGGCCCCCTTCCTTGAAAGTGGGGTAATTTATACGCATCCAGCATGGCCATAGTCAACAGCACGGATAACAAGACAGCCTAGGACTCAATAGGGCAAATGGTGGCGGGTGAGGAACAGGGATCGAGACTGGAGGTCTAGAATGGCTCCTGCCTGCCCAACAATGGTTCAGAAGCTCTAAAAATAAGGAAAGAACCATCAGAAGTGGCCCACTGGTCCGAAGCTGAAGTTCAATTCAACAGACATAGAAATTAAGGCATGGCACATAGCATTTCACTTACTCAAATGTGTTCACCAGGACCCATACTGATTTCACACAACTGGGCTCGGTAAATCCTGGTATGCTTGGTAGAGATGCAGATACGTGATATGGAGAGGAAGTAAAAAGCATTTCACATTAAGCTCCAAGTCTATTAGAAGTGACTGTGTGGTCAGTGTTGGACAAACCATAGAGGCTGGCCCTTTCTCGGAAAAGGAACCTCTAGGCAGGACTGGGACCACACTCTTCTAGGTGCCACTCTGGTTCCAGGAGTGATTTCCTGAGCCAGGGTGCAAAGCCACAGGTAATGGAGAAAGTGGGGTGCCTAAGACCATGCGGGTCCTGCCATGGGTCAGGGGTGAATTTTGAAGCACAATACAAAAAATGTAAAAATCTCTAGATCAAGAACCTTGGCTTCACCACTCCGTGGGACTTTGACAGTCACTTGGGTTTTCCGATCCTGTTCCGCATCATAAACAGGACACCCTACTTCTTCAAACGGTGGTAAGGAAACCACAGGAGATGTGTAATTCGCAAATGGGCAAGCATCACATCAGCAGTTCTCAAAATGGAATTCCTTGACACACGAGGTCCCTGATTGTGACAGTCTACTGATCTTTTACCAACTAGTATTGCTGTGTAGACCAAATCTGGCCTCCAACTTGCTATGTAGACAAGTGTAGCCTTGAACCTGCGTCCTCCTGCCTCTGCTTCCCAAGTTCTGGAATTCCTTTCCAATATTTACTCCAAAGCTGGTGACATGAGACTCTCATGTTAAACCAAAGAAAATTTCAAAATATATAAAGCCATTATGCTCTTTTCATCTAAAAAGTCTGTTTTTCATGAACAAATTTTGGCAAAAGCTCTTTGGGACCCTCAATCATCTTTAGGTGGGTAAGTGGGTACAGAGACCAAACATTTGGGAACCACTGTGCTTCACATAGGAATCAGGTGTGTTGTCGCCCAGTACGCGAGTGTCTCAGCTACTCCAGAGCGTCCCTGGAAAGCTTGGCGCGTTATGTGCCAACGGCTGACAGCCCTGCCACTCCGGCAACATTAGTACCCAATGACCGGGCCCATACAAAGCCCTCCCACTGGGAGGCAGAGCCGCAGCGACCTTGGCAGAGGTCAAGCGCGGAAGGCACAGAGGCTGCGGGCTACAGTGCCCTTGCAGGCTCAAGGGACCGCCCTGGCCACCGCCTTCACCGCGCGGCGGGGACTGGGGACCTGAACTCACAGCCTGGGCAGCGCCGCCGCTCCGCGCACGGCGTTCCGCAGCACACACAGCGCCATCTTCCCGAAGTGATCCGCCCCGCCTCGCCGCCGCCCCGCCCCAGCCGGAGTCGGACACGCCCATCAGTCTTAGCCCCGCCCCGCCTCTGCAGCCAGGCCCCGCCATGCCGCCAGTCTTCCGAACGCCCCGCCCCCGCGGGCCACGCCCCGCCCCCGCGGGCCACGCCCCTCCTCTGCTCCTCCGGGGTCCCTCTTCCTTTCTCACCGCACTCTTTGTGTGGAGACTTTGGGGAGTCCCTCTCGCCGCGCTTCTGAAGCGAGTTAGGAAAACTTGGATTTTCTTAGGCAGAACAGATTCAGATTTCCGAGGGAGTTTGTTTTTTTTTTTTTTTAAACAGTGGGTGAGCCTGCGGCGGTGAGCGAGCTACGAGCGGTCAAAGCAGATGGGCTACCTGGAAAGTAGGGTAGTGCGGGCTGGGGACTCACACCCGACCCTCCACTCTGCCTGCGGAGCTTCCAGAAGCCGAGAGAAGCTTAGGGTTCCGGCCGTGCCCACAGGAACCTTCCCTAATCCAATGGTGCCCCAAACGCTGTGGGAAGCTGGATTCAAAATTAGTTAGACCCGAGGAGCCCTGTGCCGCCAGAATGGGAACAGGGATGCCAAATATCGGCAGGACAGAGTATGGCTTTGTGTGTGATACCAACAGGGCGGACTGCTCAACCCCTCTGTGCGGCCCCCACACCCACCCAGGCCTCCAGCCCACATCCATAAGGACCACCCCACTTTCCTGACTCCCTGGCGGCCCAGCCTGTGCCCCTTTCAGCCATAATGGAGCTTGAGGCAAAAGAGGTATCTGGAACACTCATCCCATCTCTAATTTACACGTCGATAGTTTGTACTAAGCGTCTGAGCAGGCAGGCCTTGTCTCCGGATACACACGTCTCTACGGCCATCCAAGAATAAAACACAGTTCTGGAAGTCTCTTGAGTTTTCATTTCTCAGGTCTCCTAAAATCACCCAAAGCTTCGGTTACACGCACACGAGATAATATTGCAATTTTTTGCACCTGAGAGGGTCAGAGGGTCGGGCGCAGCTTTGAAAGAGGAGGGTGTAGGGAGGGTAAAAGTCTTCAGGGCAAAGTAGAGCCGTCGGAGAGAAAGCTGCGGGGATCCGAGAACCGCCTGGGCCCAGACATAAGTGATCTAAATGCCTCGCCAGATGAGCACAGTACCACTGAGCTTCACTCTGGCCCTAGACTGCTGAAATCTTAGCGTTGTAGCCCACAAATTCAGATGTCCTAGATAGAAGTGAGTTATATTTTCACCACATGGCCTTGTAATTATCGTGAAATCTCAATTATCGTTCGCTGTTTGTCTCGGGAGATCTAGCTTTTGCATTGGCTCCTAGAACGTCTGCCCAGGACACGTCGCCTGAAAATTCCTGATCATCCTCACTGTTTGCTGTAACATTCAAATAACTTTCCGACGGGGAAGGGCAGACCCATTAGGAAAATGAACCCCAAAGGCTCTTTATCTCAGTCTATTCTTCCCTTCCTTTTGCTGTCTGGGCGGATGCAGGGTTTTCTCACCAAAGCGGAGTCTCAAAGGCTGAGCCGGGCCGGTGTCACCGGTTTCCAACTTCAGAATGGCGCACTTAGAAAGAGGCCTATTAGAAGTTCTGCGGAACGGTTTTAAGCAGCGGCGGCACAGATAGAACTTGGCTCTGAGATCATTGCTGCCTCCTGCTGCTAAGACACAAAACCCTCCCGGCCGCGCTCCCGGCCGCGCTGCCTTTGATAAGAGGACCGCTGCGTCTGGCTCCTTGGGGAGAGAGGAAGAGACGTCTCTCAGATTTAGGCCAAATGCAGAATAACTAACGGCCGCGTCGTGAGCCTGCCGGGCCTTGGCTCCCTCTCTTTAAGCTGAGGAAGCGAGACCACATAACCTTTAAAATATCCTTGGGCTCTGGAGGGCCTGGAGTCTGATTTTATGACTTCATGGCTTTCCAATCTTGGCCGCCAAGCCGCGCTGCAGCGCCCCCTAGGATCAGAAGGCCGGTGCTGTCCCAGCCTTCTAGGCCACGGTCTCTGCTTTGTCTCTGTAGCTCTTCTAGTATTTATCTATCTATATAATTTATATTTATTTATTTGGGGTTTTCGAGACACGGTCTCATATAGTCTAGGCTGGCCTCTTACTCACTGTGTGGTGGAGGCTGGACCGTCAACTCCCGATGCTCTGCGGGCACCTTCCCAAGTGCTGGGATCACATGTTGGTGTGGTGAAGTGCTGGCGATTGAACCCAGGGCTTGTGTAATACAAGGCAAGCACTCTGCCGACTGAGCTACTTCCCCGGCCTCAGTTTCTGGATTTCAAGTGTGGTGGAGGATTCACAGATGTTCGCATCCTAACCGCTAGAATCTATGTGTCACTCACTCAGCGGGTGTGATGAAAGATCTTGAGGTTGGAAGATTACCCTGGATCATTGCGGGGGAGAGGCAATGTCATCATAAGCGTCCCTTATAGGAGGCAAGAGTCAAATCGCAGTGCAGACAAGAGACGTGGTAGCACAGTGGGGCCTGGAGAGAAACTGGCAAGGTAGACAAGTGCGCCTTCCCTTCAGCTCCTCGAAGAAATGCAGCCTGCTAACACCTTGAACTTTCCCCTGGAGCTCTTTGAGCTTCTGGCCTCTAGACGATAAGATGATGATTACGTTGCTTTGAGTTACTATGTTTGCAGTAGTGGATTGCAGAAGCAAAGGAATCCCGAGGTGCTTGATAAAAATGAAACTTTCACAGCGTTCCTCTACTGCGGGAGTCGCTCTTAAAAACGGACTTCACGGCATGTGGAGGGGCTTGGGATGTAGCGCAGTGGGTAAAATGTTTGCCTGGCATGCATGAGGCCCTGGGTTCCAGGCCTAGTGCAGCATGAAGTGGATAGGGTGGCACACAGCAGCCATCCTAGCACTTACGAGGTGGGGCAAGGTGGGGCCAGAGGGCGCTCAGGGATGGAGAGCACAGGACACGGGTTCGGTTCCCAGCAGCACCCATGGTGGCTCACAACTATCTATAATCCAGTTTCAGTGAATCTAATGCCTTCTTCTGACTCTGTGGACAACAGGCATCCATGTGGTACACTTAAATACACGTAGGTAAAACATGTACCCATACACATAAAATAAAAATAAATAAAAAATGTAAAAGACTTCAAGATCACAACAACATAGGGAACTTAGGGAACTTGAGGCCAGCCTCATAAAACATATGCGACCTTGTCTCATAAAAAATAAAAATAAATTTCAAAGGGGCTGGGCATTGCGGTGCACACCTTTAATTGCAGCACTCTGGAGACAGAGACAGGCTATCTCTGTGAGTTTGAGGCCAGCCTGGTCTACACAGTGGGTTCCAGGCCAGCCAGGGCTGCACAGTGAGACCCTGTTCCAGAGAGGGGGGGCAGTGAGATGGCACTTGCCTCACAACCCTTAATACCTGAGTTCAATTCCTGGGACCCACGGGGTATAAGGAGACAACTGACCCCAAAAGTTATTCTCTGACCCCCACACGTGTGCTGTAGTATGTGTCTTCCCCAACCCTCACACACGATAAATAAATCATGAAGTCTAGTACATGAAATGACGGAAGAGCTTGTAAGAGTAAAAAGCACTGTTTCCAACTACTAATGGAAAACTCACAGAGCTCTGCCTGCCTCTGCCTCCGAGTACCAGGATCAAGAGGATGCAGCACCACTCCTGGCCCTGTCAAGGTTTTTATAACACAACAGAAATGGTGGTGCATTCCCACAATCCTAGCTACTCAGGAGGCTGAAGAAGGATGTTGAAAAATTCAAGGACAGCCTCAGCTACATAGCAAGTTCAAAGCTAGTCTGGGCAACTAACCAAACCACTGTCTCAAAAACCAGAATGAAATAGGACTGAAATGTAAAGTGGTGGTAGAGCACTTGTCTAGCGTGCTCAAGGCCTTGAGTGCTACACAAAAATAAAACAAGCCAGTATCTATGAGTGCAATTATTGATTAGGAACTCTGTGTGTGTATGTGTGTGTGTGTGTGTGTGTGTGTGTGTGTGTGTGTGTGTGTGTGTGTGTTCTTCTATCGTCTGTCCATCGACCTAGAAAGCTGTTCCC